ATCTGAAAACCAGGCCATTTTAGATTAAACTGTTTCGCTAGGAGCAAATTTGGTTATAAACATAAACAAGCAGTGACGTTATAGTGAAATAGGGATATTATTCTGGACATTTCAAATTAAAGAATGAGAAATCAAAAAGTTTTTGAAAACAAGAAATAGAAGGAAAAATGTGAGTAACAAGAGAAAATACGATACTCATTCCTGGAAATACAGTAGGTACCTGATCAGTGTTGCCGATCATAATGAGCAGTTCAAAGGGGATCGCAGCCACAAGATCAATAACAAACCAGGTCTTGAGGTAATGTACTGCTATCCTACAAGGGTTAGACACCACCTCATCATTGTTGTCTACAAACGTTGTCCGAAAATTGATGAAAATATCGATAATAAACATAACGTCCACGATGTAATCTAGTATAACAATGGGATCACTATAGACTTCCCGAGGGCCGTAATCCCGTCGGGTCTCCGGGTCCTTGTTGAGTCGGTCCCGACGCTCGTCACGTGTTAGGATGAAAGATGCCATATATGGTGTTACGATTGCTGTGTAGATGACGAGGAACAAGATCAACCAGTCCCAGAATGCTTTGAAGGGTGAATAGTGTAGGATGGTCCAGGGATGGATGTTGGGTGCCTGGAGTTTATACTCGGGCAATACATCTGCTCCTAGGGACATGACCTAAACACCAAACAAAAGCACTCACATTAATTGGTGTAATACGGCGGTCATCTTGTATTATGGGATGCCGAGGGGGCAAACGTAGAAAATTTATAAAACATAGAGTGGTGGGGTAGTTTGGAGGCTTGGTGTTTTGTATATTGTTCCACATACCAGCAAAATTCAATTTCTTTTTACATTCTGCTCCTCATTAAAAAGCGATCTTAAAAAAAGCGACACCCTAACAGCTGTGCATTGTATAAAATTTACAATGATTGCCCCCTCGGCATCCCATAATTATTTATACAATAGAATTCAAGATGGCCTCAATACCGGTAAAAAGGGCTATTTCAAAAAGGTTAATAATAATGGTTCTTTTTTTGTTTTCACAGGAAGAGTTCGCTTTAGAGAGTACACATATGCAACTTCAATCATCCCACGACCTGACGCTCGAATTCAAACCGTCGCGGCGACAAGAATTTCTCATAAAGATGATCATACCACATGAAGTGTGGCTAAGACCCCGTGTCGCGTCATGTTATCGCGACTTTTCGCCTAGTGTTTGCCGATCTTAATGAAACTCATGTAAGAGAAAGCATCTGCCGAGTCGATAGACATTATCACGATTGAGCTGAAATATTGAACTGAGCCGGGATTTCTCCAAGCCGTGCCAAATTACACGCGCCTATTTAGTGATCTAACTTATTATACCGAAAACGTCTGACTTTACAGACGTTTACCACTTTGCGAACAGGTTTCGAGTGGTCTGGAGATTATCCGGGAAAACCAATTTTACTTCCCAAGTATCAATGTTTCCTTGAATGTTTTCTACCTTTGCTTTAATTTTCGTTATTTTAGTCAGTTATTTTAGAAAGAAATGCACGGTGAGTAAGCGGCGACCCTCAAATGGCTTCCCCATCCAAACAGCCAAGAGCTAAAGCCATTTTTAGGTGACCGTCACACAAAACCTATCATATGGCATAGCGTAAAGTAACTTAACTTGACTATAGATCTGACCTGGGCCACTTTTTCCGTCTTCCCTGGATGGCTTACAGTTGGTTGTAGCCCTGGAGACAACTTGAGCTTCGAGCCCAGCTCGTCATTCTGTTCTAATCCAGAGCTTCGGCTCTTAAATTTCCAAAGAGCCGTATCAGAAGTTGAGCTAGATATCTGCGGTTTGATTGGTAGAAAAAGATTGTCCATGTCAGGCCGCATGGCGGCTATCAACGAATGAGGAGGAAGTTTAGTGTCTTTGTTAAAAAACTCCGGTTTGTGATTGGTTCCTGTACCGGTAGACAAATTACTCATTGACGACGCCTTCGTACAGCCACGCGACCCACCAGGGTGGAGCAATGAGCTTGTCTCAGGTTCTTCTTCATTAGAGCATTCCGGGGGGGTGGCGGGGTGTATGCTCATCAGTGGTATAAACTCTGGGGACTGGACTGTACTTGTAGCACTAGATGTCGGAAGAGAACTTGGTCGTTCTTCCAGCTTTCTGTGTTTATGTTTCGATGTTTTTCTATGTTTGTTTTTCTCGTCGTTGTCTTTCTGAGAAGATCGTCGTTTGAAATTGATTCTATAATTCGCTCGCGAATGAAATGGGAAACATGGTTCTGAAATAAAGTATAAAGATTCAAGTTAAATCGATTGTTTGGTATAGTAATGACATAGGAAAGAGAGCAAAGAGAAAAAAACAACAAGGAAACAAGAACTGCTGTGTTCGAGAATGGGGGCTAAGAAAGGGGGCAATATTCTAAGAGAATAGATGCATGGGGAAACATGCCCCAGAAATCACAGAGGGAGGGGATCTCACTCTCAAAGGAGACAAAATGGTCGTACAAATAACAGATCTGAGGGGGGAGGGGGGGAATGAAATAAATAAAAAATAAAAAACAAGGATCAAAAAATTAGAAACAAAATCCATAACATTAATAAAGGGTTTGACAATATTCAGAAAAAGGGAGAAAATTCTCGTAAAAAATGAAAAAGGCTTAGTGGATAATGGATATATATGCACTGAGGCCTGAAGGTAGARCATTAGATAAGACAAGCGAGATTAGTTGACATACAGAGATGAGCGATAGTGAGATCGTTTGGATTACCGGAAGGATAAAGTAAAAACTATCGCCCACGGTTTAGATTGCAAAGGAGTTTATCAGATAAAGGCAAATAAAGTCACGACAATATAAATAAATATTCTTACTACATAGAAACCGCTAGTGTAATAAATTTAAATCAAGTAAAAAGATGATAGAAATTTGGCTAAATAGCCCTAAATATGCAAACTTAAGATATGAATTATCCAAAAAATTGTCCGAAAGCAATTTCCACTACAATTTTAAAACTGTCACAGTAGATATGACAAAAACAACAAAACAGATAAAATGTAAAAATAAGAAATACGATGATAAACTTTGTCCAATATTACTAATAGTTTGAATAACAAATACTGAATACACATGGAAACTTTGACATAAGCAAGGTGAGATAATGGTAAATAGACAAGAAAAAATACAAGAAAATTCTAAATTTAGGATTCGATGTCTCAGTTGTCGTGTTTGTTAAATTTAACTTTTTTCCATCTTACCAAGTATTTGGACTAACCCCATTTAATTTTGTGGAATAGAACTTCTATATCTTGAAGAAATCTTAAAGCAATTTTGTCTCATAAATCATAACCTGTATCAAAAACAAAAAAATACTGTTTGTACGTACAAAGTGAGCAAGCGAGACAGCCAAGCTGAAGCAAACACAGCTGCAAGCCAAACAGACCAAGTCTAGATCTAATTTTCGATGAAAAACAGGATCTGCAGAAGTGAAATAACGATGCTTTCTTGTGGACGAATAATTAAAATGCTGCACAAATGCTGGTCCCACAAAAAAAGTCGCTGAACGATGAATTAAAACACGAGTGGGGCATTATGAATTGAGGAAAGGCGAAATACGATCGTCAATATTTTTCATTAAGAAAAAGAATTATATAAAGCATATAACTGCATTTAAAAAACTCACTGACGTACCATTTGAAGATATTTTTTCACTCTTAGAAATTGCCACAACGAAAAAAGGTCTTATTTTCTGCATTAAAAAGAGTAACGACTTATTTAATCCAGCCCCAAGCCAGAATCCATTACGACTGATATCTGACAAAAACATCGGATATGTGGAGTTATCATGTTCGGATGTTAATAGTAATTTATGGAATTCTTGCAATACAAATATTGGAAACTGTTATCTGAGACCTGACAGAACCCAAATCGGCCGTTTGAAGGGAATTAAGGGCCTTGAATCCAGAGCTTCGTCTGCGATAAAGCGGCTAACTGGTCGAATGATTCAGATTCAAGCTCAAATGGCAAAAATTTTCCTCTTAGTAGGAATATTAAGCTTGAGAAAACGAATTTTTTAATATAATGCTTTCAAGAGTGGTGAAGAATTAATCAATCACTCGTTATCATGAGTTTTGCGTGGAAAAATCAAAACAAATCAAATTGAGGAAGTCCATACTACACAAAAACAAGTTAAGAAAATATAAAAAAATGGACTAAATTACCAAAAATACACACACAAAAATATATGTCGGTTACGGAACCAAAATCACAAGAACCGACTTGCAACATATTACACACAGAAGCACAAAATGACAAATAGACAAGTATACGTTTAATCTGTTCTCAGTAGAGTGCAAACAATATATCCATAAAACACTAATTACTAAATTGTTCAAAATAGTGCTAGTTAAATAAAAGAAAACAATAGAATTAAGCCTAAAATAGTGTAAGTTAGTATTACTAATATTTCACGGATATATTGTTTGTACTCTATTTAAGTCACACAAACAAACCGAATCCCGCCGCCAAGTTCAGTCTCAGTTTGATAACAGGGTGTATTGTGGTCTAAATTTGGTACAAACAACACTATATAAGGCATAATGGACAAAATATGATTTGCACCGGAAGCTATATCACAATGACCATATTCGCTTTTTTAAGAAAAGGTCTATATTAGGGTTCTTCTACCGCCTTCGGGCGACAACTACTAGCCTTTTAGCAGGTCAATAAAATAAGAGAGCATATGCGATCATCGAGGACAGTTTCCCAATTTGTCCCTTCAAACCATTTTATTTCCTTTAATTCTATATATATGTTGACCCCTTGAAAAATAACCCATTGTTTTGTCCCTTCAAACCATTTTGTTTTCTTCAATTCTCAGTGCAAGAGGTCTATAACTTCTTATGAATAGTTTATGAGTTATATTGCATTCAATCACTAATTTCGGTCCCACAATTCCATGCAAGTCGAAGGATTTGTTACCAGGCTCTTTTACACAGTAAAAATCATATATAACGAGAGTATTTAACGAGCGTACGAAGATACAGATACATGATCCAGAATATTTAAAAGCTGCACAGTCACTAGTCTCCCCCACAGCCGCTTTCAGTGTCGTCACGCAACGCTTTCTCCCCTCGTTGCGTGACGACACTGAAAGCGGCTGTGGGGGAGACTACACAGTTACGGACTCCTCCACAGAATCCGAGATGCCAGATTGCTTCCCTGTGTGTTTATGCGGTCAATGATGGTCTACATGCACAAGTGATAAGGGAATTTCAATAAAATGTTTCACTCAACAAATTGCTTCAATACTTGCTGTAGTCGTGATACCAAAATAAAGAAAAAAACATGGAAGAAGTCAAATGTTCGACTTCAAGCAAGGATCTTTCTGGAAATATTTGCCGTTTTCGCATTCTGAATGAATGTAACAATAAATAAAAAATATTGTCATTCCTTTGATATGTTGCTTTTTTATTGCGGTTCAAAAGGTAGAGTGAGTTGTTTTGGGGATTTCCTTGAGCTTAACGTGGTCGATATTCGGTGCTAAGCCTCCAGCCTGACCATTATTTAGGTAGAGAAGAGCGCATTTCGAAAAATAAACTATAAAACCTCAAAAATCGTGCTGAAACTTCGCCAGAAGATTAAACAAGATCAAGCTACGACTGCGGCAACTTGAGGTTTTGAAGCAAATTGAATTGTTAAGTGAAACATTTTATTGTCATGTCTTCATCATAACTTCCATACATTCCCTAATGTGCTTGTGCATGTTGTAGGCATCTCGTTGTAGGCCATCATTGAACGCATAAACACACAGGGTGACCACCGCAGCAATCTGGCATCTTACTTATGGGATTCTGGGTTTATGAGATTCTTGGGTTCTGGGATTCTGGGATTCTGGGATTCTGGTATTCTGTGGGATTCTGTGGGATTCTGTGGGATTCTGTGGGATTGTGGGATTCTGTGGGATTCTGTGGGATTCTKKGGGATTCTTGGGGATTCTGGGGGATTCTGGGGGACTCTGGGGGATTCTGGGGGATTCTGGGGGATTCTGGGATTCTGGTTCCTGGGGTTCTGGGTTTTGCAATAAAAAAATGGTTTTTAAACTTGAAAAAAAAGCCTATGTCCCTTATAAGCCACCGTAATAAACTAATGTCACGATGGCGTGGTGGTAAAACGCTCGCCTCTCACCTCTGAGGTCCAGGGTTCGAATCCCAGTTACCCAATGTGAGCTGAGTTGGTTGGTTCTCTTTCTGACTGCGAGAGGGTTTTTCCGGTCCACCGTTTTTTCCTCCCTAATCAAATCAACCCTAACTAATTCAAACTGGTTAGAGATGTGCTCAGGAGTCATACATGGACAGTATAGCGGCTGCCAGAGGCACCTTCACATGCTTTCAGTTCGACCCCGTTGAGCTGCGCCACTGCTGTACTTGCGGTGGTGATAAGCAATGGCAAGTTTTTTTGGAGCTCTTCAAATGGTCACGTGAGTTAGCCGAAATTCAAAACGAGATTGATCGGTAAACCAACTTAAAGTGACTTTGGGTTACCTGTTCAGATTCGATAGAGATATCTTTATTTATTGCCATGCATGGAATAACTTATGAGACATTCTGAACGTTACCGCACTACCTATCCTTGAAGTGCAACCACGTCACTCAAAATTCCTTGAGATTAATAGAATTAAATAACAATGAAACAGCCACCATGCTGGTCAATCTAACACATATCTAACTAGTAAAGCTAATGAGGACTGCTTTGTTATCGTCAACAAACATGACGGCTATGACGTAACATGCACACCAAGGATACAGTCATCTCGAAACCAAGATTATTTTCTTTTTCATTTATATTTTTTGTGCTTACTTTTGAGCAAATATGGTTTCTTGGTAGAAATATTAGGCAGGAAAAACGCTGAATGGCTCATTCTCTCGCGCTTCTCCAAAAAACTATCATCACTAGGCTCTCACAATGTATGTTTGGTTTGTCAAAGGATATTTCAAGGAAATTGAAAACGTGAAAAACATGAAAAACTAGCAGTGCGATTATATAATTTCAATATAAAACCTGGCCAACACTTGGAAGTGCAATCACATTCTACATCACATGACAAACAATACATGTCCATTTATGTACACCACATGACCATTTATTCTCTTCACTTTAAACCCCTTAAGAAAATCTCTTTCCCATTTAATTAAGAATTTAACTGAAGAAGAAGCGAGACAAACAATTCAAGATTTTATTCAGCTAAAATGTACAGTGATACTCACTTTTTTGAATGACGTCATCCCTGTTAGGCGACCACGTGACATCTTCATGATTCACTATGTACATTACCACAGTCCCCGACTCAGTTTTGACCGGGGCGACAAGAACAGAGCACAGGAAAGCAGTCCCTGTTAAGAACAAACATAAAACATAAACTATATAAACACACTGAATAAAATTAATGTGTGACAAAAACGTGCTTGTAAGTGAGCCTCCCTGTGGGTAAAAAAAGTAACTATCACAGTGCGTTTCAAGCACGTTGAATATTTGGACCACCAGCTTCCAGAATTCACCTACTGCTATTGTTRAAAAGACTTTATTGGCGCCCTTGCTTTCCGGCTTGGTAGAGTTTTGGGGCTGTTGAAGTTTGCACATAAGTTTACAATGATTTGTCAGTCTTACAAAACAAGGCAATACTCTTCGAAGAATTTTTTTTTTCTTTTTATTGAAGGTTGGCTTCAAGGCAAAAGTCCCCTGAATTCAAACGCTCAATGTTTTCCACAGAAGTTCCTTTTGAAGTTCCCAAGTTGGCGACGAACTTTGGACGTAATCTAGACTGTTACCAGTTCCTGTTTTCTTACTTAACTGAGTCGAGTCGGGATTTTTCCTTTTTGGTCTCCACTCCCCGCGCGACCAAGTTGGGGAAAAACTAGACTCAACCAATGAGGAAGGAGGGACTGCTAACATCCTAGACGGAACCGCTGGTTTAAAGTAATATGACAATGTCAGTTGAAATTCAAGTTCGGTGCGCACTTTCACCTGGGATCAATAGATTCGCCCAAACGAAGACTGACACATAGAATAGAGGATTTCGCTCGCAGTCTACGATTTCCCCAGAACAAACGACCTCTCGCACCTATAAGCCCGGTGCACACATCAAACCTTGGATATAGCAAATGTATTAGATACTCAAGTCGGTCTTCCTCTGATCTTGGTTTTGATAGACGATTGTGTTGATAAAGAGAGGGCATTTAATCCGTGAAATAAAGATTATTAGCGGACGCATCTAGATATCAAACAAATAAGTATGCCTATTCTTTGCACTTCCATATTGTACGACACACCAAGAAAGCATTAATAAGAGAGGGAAACCTCTTAATAACGCGCGCGCCATTTAAATTCCCGGTTGGTCGATTTTTAGTAACAGGATGCAGTTTAAATTTCGCCTTACCCTACTCCCGTGCGTCATCATCTTGCGCACGGGCGCTCTTTCCGTTTCGTCTTTAGTCAATCTCATACCCAGAGCCTGTGTTCTTCTGGCCTGAAGAACGAGGACTCTGGCATAATCCATTTTTTGACGCATGCGAAATTTTTTCCTAAGTGAAATATAATCAATGAAAATCATGCTTTCAARMAGAGTTCTGTGTTTACTTACGATCAAAATAAAAATTAGAAATTCGGAACATATTTTTGGCAAGTCTTTGAACGCATGCGCTCTTATACCGGACGTCCAAGAAATCCTGGTCTAAAAAATGGATTATGCCAGAGCCCTTGTTCTTCGCCGCGGGCCAGAAGAAACGCAGGCTCTGGGTACGATATTGGTTTTTAGTGTTCAAAACAATAAACGGAAAGAGCGCGCGTGCGCAAGTTGATGACGCACGGGAGTAGGGTAAAGCGAAATCTAAAATTTAAAAATTCAATGATAATAAAGCCAGTGATAGTGATAATGATGATGATATATAAGATCTTAGCAAGTTAGAGCACATTTTGTACTACATTAAGACAGTGCGAAGAACGAAAGTACTCGGCTTAAAAAAACGCGATCACGGGATTTCTGGCTTTCTGTTCGTCTATCCTAAATCGTGTCACGCGTCACGTCATATTATAGGTATCCTTCTTCATGATCACAGTGAAAATCCGTTTAAAAATAAATAATTAAACAGCCGCCATGTTGGTTGATCTAACAAGACAAGTTTATGAGGAATACTTTGTTATCGTCAACCAAGATGCATCTATGACGTAACATGCTCCCTGGGAGAATACAAAATCTTCTCAATAGAAACCTTGCAGGATATTCCCAATACAGCCAACTTCAGAGGACAAAACAATAGAATCTTACTCTCATGAGAACTGAAATTTATTGTTTTGTCCTCTGAGTTGTACGGCTCTGAGAATTGCAGAAACCAGTCTATAGTATTAAGTAATGATGATAAAAGAACAGTGAAATGATCTACAGAATAGATAAGCCCTCTGAATGCAAATTGAACATGGATGCAATATAAATGTACTTCAAAACTATATGCAGAAATATAACAAACTTCAGCAATACCAATCAATCAAGTTCAAACCGTCACGTACCAGGGCCGAAAGACTCTTAAGGCGCGATTACACGGAGTAATGTTCTCTGCCGGCAACATATCTCGCAACGGCGTTGTGACACAAGTCAGTTGCATTGAGCATTGCAGCGGGTAACCTACAGCGCAATTTTTAAAATATTGCAAGACAAATAGCAGCAATCGTTTCGAAAAGTAGAATTCGTTTCTACTTTTGGCAACAATTGCGTCTCCGTTGCACCGTGTAGACACTCTTGCAGCTTGTGTCGCGTTGCAAGACAAGAACAAAGAAAATTGCTTCGTGTAATCGCGCCTTAAGCCTCATATAAACACAATGTATTTGACCCATAATTATGACAATCTTATTCATCTTCTTTTCTTATATTCATATCATATTCTATTTATTGAATTTTCTAACTAAATGGAAATACATCTTTGAATTATACGAAAATTTCTTTCCTCGTTTTCTTTTTTTCCCTTTTTTGCCCATTACTTTTCTTTAATTACGAAAATCATTTCAGATTTAAAAACATTGCTAGCAAGCAGCACTTCTTGGGTGAAACTTGAATTTCGTCTTCCAAGTGTTTTGATAAATCTAAAGCACCTACTTTCCAACATTGTCGAAGATGTTTACAAATGTTAAAAGAATTTTGTCTTTTGTTCAAGTAGTGAAATATTGATGCATCTTGACAAACCTTTCAATCAGCCAATAAAAAAGAACCTTTATCATTAAAGTTTTAAGCAAGCTGGAAAAGAACCGCCAGGGTGTGTCAGGGAGTGTCACTGTAGTGTCATTCGCCCCCGGTCAAGCCCCCGTTATAATTGAGGCTGGATCCAACCCTGATTCTACCTCACTATTCTCAAGAAAATCTGGTTCACAAGTAACAAAAATGCAAGCCCAATACAGCGCCAGTGCTTCAAAAAATCAGACAAGCTAAATAATGATTCATAAGATAATAGTTATTTGCAGACTCTATGATTGCACGAATGAAGGCTAGTCAATCATTCTACAATAATACATGGATATTTTCGACAAAAAGACAAAGAGATACATTGTTTTGTCATATTTTGTATTTTCGGTGCTCTTAAAAAATCTCGAACAAAAATCCCTACAAAAATATATTTTTCATATGTACCTGATATAAACTTTTTCTAAAATGTTGACATAACCTAGATTTTTAGGAGTTTTTTTCAAATGGGCTAATAATAAAATAGAGTCCCATGCAAAATTTGAGGGTTTTGCCCTGTTGAAGCTCAAAACGCGTATGGTTCTTCAATAAAATCTTGTAGATTTTTCAGCGTTTTTTGAGTGCGCGCACATCGTGGGCTCAAATCGAAAGTTCAAAAGTAGGCAGCCAAAAGGGGCTACTACGGATTTCACCGAGCTGTGGCGACACGTCAAAAATTTGTCTCGCTTCCACTCCCAAAGTTGTCTACTGACACGCCTACTATTGTCACTGTCTCGGATCTAGCACATTGCCAGTAAGGTAATATCGCTGTAATACACGCACTGCTGTATCAAAGGTAGGCGTGTCAGTAGACAAATTAGGGTGTGGTAGCGAGACACATTTTTGACGTGTTGCCTCAGTTCGCCGTAGTAGTTCAACTTTTACCGTCAAATACATCTCTTAGGCCAGAAATAAACTGAAATGATATACCAAGACAGAGTACAGGCCATACATCTGGGTCTGGTTGTACAAAGCGTGGATAGCACTATCTGGCAGATAAATCCTTATCCAGTGGATAATTTGATGCTGTTATCCAATAAATTTATCCACTGGATAAGATTTATCAGTTGGATAGTGCTATCTTGGCTTTGTACAACCGGGCCCTGTAAAACAATTACTAGGCATGTAGCACTTAAAGGTATATAATAGTAAGGCTGTGTTCATAATGTTGGCAGAGGGGGGGACAGATGAAATCTTTAAATGACATCCCCCCTTGAAGTCCCCCCCAAAAATAACTATCCCCCCTGGGCAACCTCTCGTAGCTTCTCCTAAAAATTTTGCATCCCCCCCAATTCTCTTTAAAAAATATTCAAACCCCCCTCCATTTTACTGGTAAACATTTTTCTCAATCCCACCTAAATTTCACCTGCCCTCCCCCCTCTGCCATACATTATGAACACAGCCTAATAATAGTAACAGTAATGCTAATAAGTATATGTAATAGGACTTCATGCTGTCCAATTAAGAAATAATTGGACTAGGATAATTCCAAGCACTGACAAAATTGGATGAGGCCGTAGGCCGAGTCCAATTTGGCAGTCAGAGGAATTTTTCGAGTCTAATTATTTCTTGATTGGGGAGCACGAAATCCCATAACCTATTAATTATATCTGCTTAATTAATCCCATATCAACAAGACCTGTCCAATTAAGAAAATAATTGGACAGTTACCTATATGGGATTAATGAGAAGCTGTATAATTACAACAATAAAAAAAATATTAAATATTATTATAATTATTATATTTATAATCATATATATTCATGTATAATATATTTCAGTGTGACTCCTCAACATCTTTTCAATTAAACCTAAGAAGCTTGGACTCCTATTACTAAGCTGTTGATAATCAAGATTAAGGATTCCTTACTATATTGTCATTATCAAGAAATGCACAAATAGATAGATAAATGATACTATTGGTGCTTTTTCATCTGACAACTAGTGGAAATTAGACAGCTGTTGACCCACACACAAGTAAAGATGTCACACTACATATAGATACAATGATATATATATATACTAGAACATTGTTATTAAAATTGATAGAAAAGTATAAAAATAACTAGGCATAGCCATTAATGATTCATATACATAAACATGTCATACTACCCTAGTTTGATCAAAAATGTTAGAATGCCAAAAATGTCACAAAAGAAATGCAATCAATGTCCTTTTACGAATAGAGACAGTGGTAGGAGTTTACCACAAGTGCAGCATGATTTCAAACATAAAATCTGTTATGACAAAGAATACCATAGTAATCCCTGAAGATTGGTGCTAATACCCTGAAAGCTTGGGAATAAGCTGGCTTAACAGTCAAAGAAACATTTAGCTTATATAAAGAAATGTTTTGATCTTAGAGTTTTATGTCCTTGTATTTAATGTCTTTCACTATGAATTATTAACAGAGTTCTTCACTTAAGTTAGAGGTATCTTTAAGAACCTTTCTTACAGCCCAAAATAACATTCATATTCAAATATTYAAAATATTCAGCAGATTAAAGAGTGGCTCACTATTAAATTTCTTTCCCATTGTGGTTAAGCATAAAATGTTTTTCATCATAGCTGGACCTATAAACACACTATAATTATTTCTTAAATAAAGTCAATATACAATACAGAACTTCTATGTCAGAAGATAAAACACATTCTTCAATTTAAGCTGTCTCATAAGTTTCATTAAAATTCATAACTTTCATATTAAATACTATTTTTAACTTTTTGTTGTAATGAATTGTCATAACAGTAATATACTTTTTAATATACTGTATGATATGTCCCTGAAAACTAATGCATATGAGAAACAAGAAAAAAACAATTTTTGATCAAAGGGACAGTCCTTTTTATACTGAAAAAATTACTGTATTGCCAAGGGTAATATTGGTGTAATATATAGAATTAATAAAAATAATCTTCCAAAACATATCAGCTGTTAATAATATAAGCTAAGCTTGTTTATAAAAAGATGGAACTTCCTTGACTTTGCAACAAAGGACACTCATATTTTCTTATCATATTTATCTAGTTGTCAATTCAAAAACTTTACGATGGTTTTGATACAAATTTAATCAACAAAATACAAAATACATTCCTTGATATATTCCATGTTCAACATATATTCCTTTGTTTACTTAACTCAATTTAAATTAAATTTTCAAATTAATTTATTCTATGCAAACAAATCATTTAAGGTTGTTGTGAACCTTTATTACAAAACTGTTTCTATACAGTGTATTACCATAACTTTCTTTCATATTTTCATTATTAGAAAAATTTAAACTATATTTTCATTTTTTTAAAAAAGCTTGTTTTGACAAACATTTTACTACTACTTTACAAAACGTAAAAATTTGAGCAAAGCTCATATTTTGGTTCTGACTGATTCGATAAGTTGGTTCCAGTTTCTGCAAAAAAATTCAACTTATTAAATCAGTCTAATATATATATATCAGTATTAGTGAGTTAGAAGTAGAAAGAGCAAAAATGAAGATGAAAATTTGATAATGACAGGTATATACAATGAAAGTCATCTCATTGTCGACATATTATTTTTGCTTCCAAGCTCATTGTTCCTTTTTAGTTGTCCAATTCTTTTGTTATTTCCATTTTTAAGCCACCCCCTAGAAATCATACTGGATCCAATATTGACCATCAAGCTAAAATGAATATATATATTTACATGTACGTTGGAGAGCTTTAGCGCTGTTCATCTAAGTAAACAAAATTGTCCTTGTTTTATAAGAATAGCACTTAATAGCCAGTTACTAACGAATCTGTAACCCTTGTTACACCAGAGAACCCTGATAAAAACCGTTGAAGCACAGGAGAGAACCAACTAAAAACTCTACTCACAGTCTGGGACCACCATTATGACACCAGTGTTTGCCCTAAGTATGAAATGTTAGATTGCTAGCTAGCTAGAAGCATAGCTGGTGGTAATATATATATATATATATATAGGAGTTGGTGTATTGGTAATAACGCTTTATAAACAGCTGATTTTCACCCTTGGTGTCTTTTACTTACCTATTAGCAAAAATCAACGTTTTAAGAAATTCTACTTCCATGCACATAAAAATAAGTGTAGTTAGGGCTAGATTCTTATTTTCAAAAGTCTGAATGATCCATATAAAGCCACGTTCTCAAGATCAACACCACCCCAAATTCCAATTAGATTTCATTACATCGAGATTTCACAATTCTTATCTATTTATTTTTTAATTTTAAAATGAAAAAACTTTCTTTTGTCTTAAAAAGAATCTCCTTGGAAATAAAATAAAAATTAATATATATAATATTTGTTTTTGTTTTTGTTTTTTTTTTGTTTGTTTGTTTGTTTTTTATGACATTTCGGTGTCTTTTAGGTGACAAGATTGTTTATTACTAACGATTACGAAAAAAAAATTTTTTCACCTCTTTTTTTTGAAAGTGAAAATCGTGAGACCATCTTGTATATATTGGTAACATCATATTTTCATTGACTAGGTTTTGACGTGAAAAATAAGAGATGTGTTAAAAGTAAACAGATCTTTCATTGGAAATTTTATAGAAGAGAAATGATACCACAAAGTTAATTGCTGAAATACAAGCTGGACGATGATCGATGACAAGCGCGCTGTATTAAAATTAGCCAAACGTATACAAACACTTTTGCATATAAATTGCAAACGACGCTCTGGTCTCAACAGGCAGGAAATACAAATAGAAAGGAAAAGATAAGGAGTATTAAGGAGTACATTTAAGAAACTTATGAAACAATAAAGAAAAAGCATTTCTTGTTAGAACTACTTCCAAATCGAACTACCAATCGAGAATAAGTAAGGGTTCGAATTTTTCGACCTTTGGCTGACAAATCACATGCAAACATTACTAGATTCGTGCGGTCAACAGTCATTATGTCCTCAAACAGAGTTAAAAGCAAGAAATATAAATAGTAAAGTGTATTAGGACATACTGGTGTGGTAAGAATGCCAAATGCGAACACCATTTGCAGTTGTATAGCCGGGTAAAAGGAAAACAGCACGCCGCGTAAAAGGCTTGTCTCATGACTAAGTGGTTATTTATGAGATTACTAAATGAACGATCGATCACAAACAACACAAAAAAGTCAATATCTTAATGTCAAACGATGGCAGGCTAGAGCCGAGAACATAAATTTTCGCTTCGAGGAGGTTTTTTATTTAGGAATCAGCAAGGAAAGATAGTTTAGTCACGGCTAATTTAAAACTCTTGAGGTAGAACATGTAGTTATTGTTGTTATATGTTGGTGTCTGCATGTACATGCCGTGTGTGATGCGGTGAGGCCGTATAGGATCACTTCAGTTGCGTGATAATACTCCATGATACACTAAATCCTTTATACTGTAACTGCTTAAAATCTGCACAAGGATTATCAGATGAACAAGTATCGGTATAAATGAGGGCGAACACGTTGAAAATGTAAAGGATAACATTGTATGGTTATAATGTGTGGTTGAAGTTGGGTACAACAATACATCAATGAGCACATGAATGYAAACACATTGTCAAAATAATAACAAAAAAGCTGAACTTGAACATCAATAATAAAAACCACCGTATAATTAACATACCGTCTTTCCTGTAGTAGAGGATTTCAATATGTTTTTCTTCAGTGCCTTTGAGGGCATTTTGAACTTCTCTTCTTGCCGTTTCACTAGTGCCTTGSCCGCACAAGAAGTCACAGCTACAATGCCTTTGAACGAGCTCTGCTCGACTRTACCCTGTCAATTCACAGAAGCCCTCATTACAGTATATAATCGGTAAGTTTGAAGYTTGAGCATTTCCAAGGACAAAGTTCCTATCCGCTAAATAATAGAATAAAACAGGATTTTCGCGTTAACTTCACACATGGCATCTTTGTCTTTGAGTCATCTGTACTTACGAGATCCGTCGTATTTCTTGATAATGGTCTGTATGAAGGTATTCTGGGGCGCAACAAGACCTTTTTTGATCGGCATCCTAATGTTTTTATCGAGAAAGAGAGGTCTAAATCATATTGTGTTTTGCTAAATCCCCGTAAATTGATCATACCACTAGCAACCGGTCCAATTCTGTTCACACATGCTTGAAATTAAAGACGAGTACTGTCTTGCTATTGGCTGCCCGCCGACCAGTACACAAACACTGTAATATCACCTCTAAACTAAATTACCTTTTTCTCTTTGTAGAACTTTTTATGGTACAAACGCATTTTCAAATACACTACTTTATATGCAAATCTAGTTTTAAAGTATTCATRTCTTTTTGAGTGGGTAATTTTCAAAGTATTTAGAAGGCATTAATATTTGACTAGGGCTAATTTGTTCCTCAATGATTATCACGTAATGGTTGCCATGACTGCCAATTTCCTGACAAATCTTCCTTCATGYAAAACATTTAAAACTTTTGACCAAAAAAATAAAAATATCGTCAAAACATGGAATATAAAAGAGTACGCGTATTATCTAAATTATCATTTTTGCAAAGCACTTTTTGAGTGGAAAGACGCCAATTTTCATTTTCTACCGAGTTTTGAACAATGGTCATATGATATCGTCGGCCTTTTCTTAATAGTAGAGTTAGTACTTAWGTGCTTATCATATTGATGGATTTATTAATGTGGTGTCTCATTGGCGTTTCAATTAGCATTGCTTTTATTAAATTTACTCTGAATTTAGATTTTCAAAATTTTGTTTTGCGATTCATTTTTAAGCACTTGACCTCGATTTCATTACGTTCATTTGTTTTTCTTGCTTCAAAACTTGACATTGAGATGGTACTTATAGCATTAGTGATTTTTTTTGCTTTTTACAAGAACTGAGATTGTCTTTGTACGAGGTCGGCTTTGCATAAAAAATCCAGTTTTGCATAGATGATATTTCGACTACATCCAGAGAGTCACAACATAGACAAATAATAGCCGTTCTCTTTCATAACGTGTGGTCAACTAAAGAGCCAGTAAAAATATGTAATATCATTGGTCTAGGAGTAATTTTGAATCCGATTGAAGGAGTATGTCCTGCAGCAGAAACAGAAGAACGCCAAACACACTAGTCTTTATTAAACGCAACATCTTCAAGACAGAGTTAAGATGAATAAAAAATAGATAATTATGGCCATATAATAAATATGAACAAATTACAGTGTTATGCTGTTATTTCGTCAGAGCCGACCCACAGGGGCAGGGGGGAGGGGGGGTTGCGTCTACACAAGGTTTCTCCAGAAAAGTAACAACTTATGAGTAATATCAATGGAATTACAACTTTTTTTCTGTGCACAGCACCATCCGAGATACTGCCAATTTTTTTAAGCTTTTTTTTTTTACGAAATGAGTTAATCTGTTCCACGATTTGATTACGTTTTGTCAGAAAGTTGATGCTTTTAGGAGACTTAATATCAACTAGCCTCAGGGGATGGGAAGGCAATTAAGATTCCTATCGAACCAGTGACTGGTCAAAAACCATTGAAAAGGTCTGCCCTTAATCATTTGAGCTGCGTCCTAAAATTTCCATAACCTTCCTTTTCTATTTCGTYCATCCTCTATAACAACTTCAGTCTTCTTCTCCTTCTCCGTAGAATATCCTCAGTCCTACCCCCTTCCGATCCCMCCATCATGAATACCATCCAGCTGATCTAAGCAATAATGTTAGCTAACCAATCAGAATGGAGAAAACGTGCAAAACTCATCGATGTTTCATTTTTCCTCTTAAAATTATGGATTTCCAGGCTCGATAAAAATGACTTGATAATTATTGAGCTTTATATTTTTATTGCAATGGCGGACATGTCATTATCAGTTTTCACTAATCAATTTTTCAGTGCAAGCTTCATGACACTCGCGATTTCAGATCAGCTAGATGTACAGAACATGTGCAAATGTTACATAACTTCAATACAAAGTAAAACGTGCTCTTGATAACAAGTCAGATAGGACAGCTTGACAACTAAGATAGAATGAAAAAAGCGTACGCAAACTGTCWAAAAAAGCTTATCATCGGGCGGTTAATCAGGCATGCGCGCAGCCTGAGCTGTCGGCTCTAACTAAAAAAGTCTGATCTGATCTAACTAGTAAATGTTTCGAACAATTACAAAGAAATAAACGAACCAATGGATAAAATAAATGTCAACGACACAAAGAGATCGAAATCCAGATTCAAAAGAGCCCGGCGATAAGAGTATTTGTAGCAAAGTTTATCGAGATAATTGAATACTATAACATTTGTACGTTGAWTACTTTGACTGCATTTCTCTCTTGTTATTTACCGACCCAAGACACTCTTTATTCTATACACTCCTGCCGGTCGGAATCATGAGTACATACTTTAAAATAAAATGCATCTATATTTTATACATAAAAGAGGTAAATTCTATTATAGGAATCATACATCGACCTTCTTCACAATCAATATTCCGAACCGTACTTCGGTTTCCAAACCTTCATCATAGCCACTCCTCATGATTTCTCAATAGAAACAGTCAAGCAAACCACCTGTTCAGTACCTGAACAGAAGCACATGAAAACAATAGACATCGCCAACATGCATAATAACAGTTGTCTGCATCACAACCATCTAGTAACGCATCGAGCAATCGAACTCAATCCCTAGAATACCAGTACACATCACTCCGAACAAACATTTCGACCATTATTCCGTATCCATCAATGATTCCGGTTATCTTTGATAACAATACCCAGGTACATTGCAAGCCATAACTAAACTTATTATAACAACATGCAAGACACTTGCTTTATGATGCTTYAAAACTACCAGAATCCATCAACCACCTTCTTCTTCATGACCAAGATCATCATAGGCACCTTCATCACTACCTTCATCGTCATCACATGCACCATCATCACTACCTTCATTATCATCACATGCACCACCACCTTCTTCTTCATGACCAAGATCATCATAGGCACCTTCATCACTACCTTCATCGTCATCACATGCACCA